TCGTGTTAGATCTCGCAATGAAAACGAAGCTCCCCCCTGGGAGCGGCTTGCTTGGATTGCCGCCTGACAACACGCTCGCTCCCTCAGGTCTCCTGACGACGCCTGAACATTTCACGGCAAAAGCCACTTTGCGTTAGAAAGCGCGGTGTTGTGAGGTTACAGGAGAGACGAAGTGATAACTTATATTGTGTTGTACGACCTGTGACGTCTCTCCCGCCTGTACAAAACCTGCCGCGGCATTAGCATGTGGAAACAATACAAAGAGTTATACATGTCCAGTACGTGTCAAATTTGTGATGTACGAGCTGTGACGTCTTTTCCGCCTGTACAAAACCTGCCGACGCATCGGCATGGATGGAAACAATACTGCTGAGAGTTATAAGTATGTCCAGAACGTGTCAAAATTGAAATTTTCTATGCTGATGCAGATAACAGTATACAGAATGGAATCGATCGCTATGATGCATGAAAAAGTTATATATACATCGAAGTAGTCGTCGTAACTATAGGGATCTCTCAGGCTGGAACATGGAAATTAGTTGAATAACTACCTCTCTGGCGGGAAAATTAATGAACCACCTGAGATGATATATCTATATATGAAGACGCAAACATCTTACCTTACCCATATGCAAACATTTCCAAGCTGCCAATTCATCTTTTCGATGCAGATGTCAGATGTGAGGTAATCACCTCACAAGAAATACATCGCAGGTAATCACCTCACAAGAAATACATCGCAGGTAATCACCTCACAAGAAATACATCGCAGGTAATCACCTCACAAGAAATACATCGCAGCTATAATCACCTCACAGGAAATACATCGCAGGTAATAACCTCACAGGAAATACATCGCAGGTAATCACCTCACAGGAAATAAACAGGAAATACATCGCAAGTAATGACCTCACGAGAAATACATCGCAGGTAATCACCGTACAGGAAATACATCGCAGGTAATCACCTCACAGGAAATACATCGCAGTTAATCACCTCACAGGAAATACATCGCAGGTAATAATCACCTCACAAGAAATACATCGCAGGTAATCACCTTAAGGGAAATACATCGCAAGTAATCACCTTACAGGAAATTTATCGCAGGTAATCACCTAATAGGAAATACATCGCCCGCAGCGGATGAGGTGTGATTTAAATCACCTGAGGCTGTGATCAAATTTTTTCGACGCTCCGGAATCGTTTTTTACAATTTTCTCCTCCAGCGCCGGCAAACGCATCCACTAATCAAAATTATATTTAAATTTCCCTTTTATTTCTGTTCAAAAATTCCATCCTATCATCCGTAATGATATTAATTTCAAAACTCCAATTTAACGCATTAATCCCAGCGAACGAATATATTCTCATCCCAACAATGCTATTCTTACCTGACTAGTAAAATTAAACGGTGTCGAGGATTAAGAAGCAACGTGCGAGCTTCATTCTGAGTCCGGGCGTCGTTTTGACATCACAAGCAATCTGGAAATCTAATTAATTAGCCTTGAGATTAAGCGAGTGTTTAAGCCAGGCCCCACGTAATTGTGACGTGCGCGGTCCCGCCTCTGGGCCATAGCCCCGCCTGCCGCAGCGGCTGGGCCAAGAAGTCATCTGTGCCAGAATATTGTTGCCGGCGTCGCTGGCCAGCAGCACGCTAAAATGGACATGAATCTTGTAATGTGAGGACATATCATGCTTATGTGTACACTATCATACATACTTGTACACTGACATCATGTTTACTTGTCATGCGGTACACTGACATGCTTACTTGTACACTGACATCATGCTTACTTGTACACTGACATCATGCTTACTTGTACACTGACATCATGTTTTATTATACATGTCATGCGGTACACTTGCATCATGCTAATTCTTATATCCAATGACCATTCTTTTCTATGTCATTGCACGTATACAGATATTTAAATAAATTATTTGAATCTCTTTATAATGCTGATGCCAGCCGCTACTATGGTTGAGTTTGTCAGAATTTTGGGCAGCTATAGTGGATGAAGGCCTGACGATCGGCCAATACTGAGACATGTAAAATTTTTAGAGCGGTGTTAATTCTTACAACATATAAAAACTGTTCAACAAGGTAATAAAACAAATAAAAATAAACAGAATATTTTTACTGTAAAGAACTTTAGGATACATTTAAACGGTATTTAATTTCTGATATTATTTCATATACAATTTCAAAGACCATAGAAGTATTCAACATTTAAATTGCCAACAAGCGTTCATAATAGAAATAGCATCATTGGCCATGCAGGATACACGAGCTCTTGAGTGTCAGCGCCGACGTTCTCATCTCTCCCGATATTTTAAGACTTCTTAATTATAAGTATTCATTTATGGAGAGATTTATACCAAAAAACGCAAGTGTTCACACTAAATACTTCGGGCCTCAAATGATGCACTCACGAGGAGAGTTTCTCGAAGATGGCATGCATGGCTATCCCAAGAATGCGATGATTAATAAAGAAGGTATTTTGTAATTTAGAATTGAAATTAGAAGTAGATCGTGGCTCTCAATACACTACAAGTGATAAATATTTCTCTAACAGTAGTTGAAATGTGATTTTTAATCAAGCAATTGAGTTCAATTTAATTAATGTGTCCCCTCAATTCTGATTATCAAAATTCATGAAATTCATTACGCTTAAACTCGGCGCAAGCTTCACCTGATCTTCGACTCATGTATAAGCGAGCGACGCCTCCCGCCACATTCGCCTTTGTTCAGTCGTTCCTCTGTTGCAGAATATAAAAGCCTGTCTCTACCGACTCCTCCTCTGAAGGTTCCTCCCTCAGATCGTGCCTCAGGACTCCTCCTCTGAAGGATCTTCCCTCAGATCGCGCTCCTGGAGTCCTCGTAACCCTCGACTCGAGCCAAAACTCGTGGCCCTCTTAGCGGCGCCGGTGGCCGGTGCTGCCAGAGCCTGAAGACGATTTCACGAGCTGCGCGCGAACATCAAAACTTTCTATTCATAAGAAAAAATGCGAGTTTCTGTATTAATTTCAGGCCGTGAATGAGAACGAGGTTAATTCCGGAAGATTTCAGTTGAAGACTCGACGGTTTTATGTTTAAGAAAGAGTTTGCGATGAAGTGACTCAATACGAGTACCAAAATTGAAATCTGTTTGAACTCTATAACAGTACCGTTATTGGCTGTTCCAGCGCAGTAAAAGTATCGTTATTGAAGTTTTCCTTAGCCCAGTAAAAGTACTGTAATTAAAAACTGTTTAAACTCAATATCGGTGCTGTTATTGAAGGCTGTTTGGAAGTAGCAAAAGTACCTTTATTGAAGACTGTTTAAACTCAATAACAGTACCGTTGTTGAAGACTGTTTGAACGCAGTAAAAGTAACGTTATTGAAGAATGATTTAACTCAAAGCAGTATTGTTGTTGAAGACTGTTTGAACGCAGTTAAATAAACTTTATTGAAGAATGATTCAACTCAATATCAGTACTGTTGTTGAAGACTGTTTGAACGCAGCAAAATAAACTTTCTAAAAATGATTTAACTCAATAACAGTACCGTTATTGAAGGCAGGTTCGCACTCAATGGAGTTATCATTATTGAAAGCTATTTTCAAAGATGAAGCCTGATTCTGATCGGTTAATTGTGAACTCTTAAAATTTTAAATAGGTTGGAATATAAATTTTAGTAAGTTCATAAAATGAAGTCCTTGTTCTTTTAATTTATAACATGAACTAAAGTTGAATATGCCATTCACTGGCACAGGCTGTGTTAAGTGTGCATGATCGACTGACCGTTACTGGCTCAGAAAGCTGTAATTAACGTAAACTCATTTCATATAAACTTGAATTTTCTTAAACAAAACGGTTTGCGAATATTTCTTCGCGATATTTATGAGTTATCATTTATTCACGATATTGCAAAGTTGGCATTAGTTCTCGAAAATTTCGACCTAGCTTTTCTTTGCATTATTTTCGAATTAGTTTATCTATGTGATATTTTCAAGTTGGCATTTCTTTGCGATATTTTCAAGTTGGCATTTCTTTGCGATGTCTTCAAGTTAGCATTTCTTTGTGATATTTTCAAGTTGATATATCGTCAGAAGTTAACGTATATCTTCGCGATATTTTCAAGTTAGTATTTTTTATTGATTAGCATTAGTTAGTATTTCTTTAAGATATTTTTCAAACATGAAAGATATTTAACAGATTTTTTTACAGTATTTAATATGTTGTTAAAAACGGCATATTATGTTAACGTTAGTAATTGTTTTTAAATAAATTGATTTAGTTAAAAAAAGTAATTGTCGTTTAAAAAGCAGACTTTCTAAACCATCTTATCGCAATTGTTTTCAATCATAAGAATTTAATAATTATCAAGGAAAAGGTAATTTTTTCAATAATAAATGTTGCTAAAAATATCAATGCTTCTTAACACAAATGATTGTTAGCAGCAATAATAATGATTGTTTGCATATTAAGCCATTGTTACTTGTAATTTAAAGTAAACAATGATGATTCTTACCAATTCTTCACTGCTATTGTAATTCTATTAACAATAATAAATTTTGGTAAATAGGGTAATTATTACAAATTGGGCACTACTGTTGTAATTGTAGTTACCAATATTGAAGTTATTAACAATCATAATCGTTATTAAAAATAGTAAATATATATATGAGCATACTGCTAAGGTTATAAACGGTAGGACTTTAAATTTCTTCATTCGTCGTTAGCTGCTTTTCTTATTTAATTTATGCTCGTGTCTGACTTCTGCCGCTAAAATCTGTTTCCTGGCAGAGGGGCGAGCACTGCTGGGTGTGAAACTCCCTGCCATAACGCTTTAAATTTGATTGGGAATGTTCAGCAATATCTCAGTAGATACGGAGTGCTACATAGCGAAAGTTAATAGCCTTCTACATAATGAAATGTCATAATTTCACGTGAAAATTAAAGCTTGTGGATGGGATTTATATTACAAAGTATTTCCAGTTCTATCGAAGCGAAGGCCTGTCAGTAATTCCAGCCAATGCACGCGCGTTCTCTCAACGTTAGCTCCGACAATACCAAAATGGAGAAGCTGACAGAATTTGTTTCGAAATCTTTTGATCCGAAGAAAAGTGCACTGAGCGTTCATTATTTGGCGCAGTCAGCTGCTAAAACAGACCCAGCAAGTGAAGATCTCACTAAATCAAGCCACGTGAAGAACAGATTGGAGTTTCCAGATCAAGGCAACCAGGATCACTTCGAGACCAGCGATCTCGGTTTCGTGGAAGAGGACGAAGCTTTGCCTCTGGTGTGCCATAAGAAAGAAACTCCCTCACCCGTAAATCTAAACGATTCCCCGGACATCGACTCAAACGAATTCAATACGCATAACGAAACCATGCTTCTTGCAAAAGATGATCTTCGGAAAAGGGTTCTGGGATTCCCTTCAAATATTCCAAATGAACTTCACAGGCTAGCCAATCTTTCCCAATTGCACAATTTGAGCAGCCTGCTGCCTCCTACCGCGCATCATCCGTTGACCTACCAACTACCGTTGTTCTTCAGTCATCATCAGAATTCAACAAGACAATCGATAGCTGAACACCAAAAGGACTTTCACCAACACCTGTCATCCCGGGGTTTTGTATCCTTCCCACCTTTCACGTCCCCTCGGCACTCCCCCACACGTACACCAGAGGGTATTTCCCCTCCCACTCTTCCCCGAGTACTGAACCTCTTCCCCGATAGGAGCCCCGGTCGTTACCCTGACAATAACTCCAAAATCGGGGAAACAAACTCTTCTTCTCATGCATCCCCCGGCTCTGCGTCGCATGACGAGGATGAAGACATTGATGTAGAGGCACCTCCCTCTCCCAAGATCAACAAACCAATAAATTCGTCATCAGATAACCGAAGTGATTCACCAGTAACGGCTGAAGAAGGTCTGGTTTCAGGTAAGATACCTGTATGTTTTGCAGGGTATACCATTTTTTGTTGCTTTAGATTTACTTCTATGTTATCCTCTGAGTTCTCCTAGTGGATGTAGGTAGAGAATCAAATTTCTGGCGCCGCCACGCGATGCGGTACCTACGTCATTATTGTCTTCAGCGCTTGCAACCAAATGATAGCTGAGTTATTGCGTTCCACAACAAAAGGAGCAAAATATATGATTATAATCAGAGTCTATCACGCGTACCGAGCGAGGATGCGAGACTACAACTAATAAATTTTTGAGCAGGAACGAAGATTAGCCGCCAACTCGTTTTTCCCGCTCCAAGTTGAGTTGTTTTATTCGTTGCCAGGGCATGAAAAATGAGGGCAAGTGGTTCAAGTCACGGGCCCTGACAACGTATAAAACTAAATTTCATTTCATGAACTCCATGATAATATCATACAGGTTATTTGAGTGCGTTATCCATATACTCATACAATTGGTTTTAATCTTGGTACAATTGTTACTGTAACGTAAAGGAAACTATAACGAACATGAAGCGCTGAGTGACTGACTTTTCAGGGTGTCCCAAAAAACGATACTAAACTTTGAATGGCTGTAACTCAAAAAGTAATAGAGTTAAAAAATTTTGGAAGGTCAGGATTTGTTCCCTATGTTTTTCTGCATCTCTCCGCCAAAAATCAGACAGATCGATGTAGCCATAAGCGTTTGATAGAATTTTCAGTGACATGTGCTAAAATCGTGCTTGCGCAAAGTTTTGGTAAGATCATTTTGCATAATCATTAGGTTGTCTTGACATGTTTTCTTTTCGCCGTTTTATTTTTTGTATCTTTGGGGAGACAAAAACCTGGCAATCTTTGGTGAAAGACAATCATGGCAATCTTCGGTGAGACACAATCATGGCAATCTTTGGTGAGAGGCAATCATGACAATCTTTGGTGAGAGCCAATCATGGCAATCTTTGGTGAGAGACAATCATGGCAATCTTTGGTGAGAAGGAATTTCAAAAACAAAGATTGCCTTTCACCAAAGATTGCCATGATTGAGTCTCACCAAAGATTGCCATGTTTTTGTCTCACCAAAGATACAAAAAATAAAACGGCGAAAAGAAAACATGTCAAGACAACCTAATGATTATGCAAAATGATCTTACTAAAACTTTGCGCAAGCACGATTTTAGCACATGTCACTGAAAGTTCTATCAAACGCTTATGGCTACATCGATCTGTCTGATTTTTGGTGGAGAGATGCAGAAAAACATAGGGAACAAATCCTGACCTCCCAAAAATTTTTAACTCTATTGCTTTTTGAGTTACAGCCATTCAAAGTTGAGTATCGCTTATTTTAGGACACCCTAGCTGTATTTTAACTATATATTGACTATTTGTACAGGTAAGCGCAACATTTATTTTCTCTATTTTATTTGTAGAAAATTAGACCTCAGTGGAAACATATTATGGATTTTTAACAAAAATTATTCCAGAGACGATCGTTAGCCCAAATTGAAATTTCAATTATATGATGTTTGGAAATAAGGTCCAAAATTAACAATATTTTGTCGATAATGTAGGCTATTGATCTTGATCCGCTGTGGACTATTGATCCGCTCGCGACAAATGATTCCTGAGTAACCAAAAACTAATTTGCATGAGGTTATAAATATTCATTAATAGCATATATGTTTTAGAGGTATCTTTCAATAAAAAATCATTTTTTATTTATTTTATCATAAGCCCTTTCTTCCAATTACTTAATGGAAATTTTCGAGCACATTCCTCGCAGAGATTTAATCTTTCTTTAAAGTCGCATCGTAGATTCGTGAATTTCCTCGTAAAAATGTATTCTTAATAAGAAGCTTTGACGTATTTTTCCAATGCAGTTCTCGCTTTATTGAATCTTGCGGCAGGAAGATTCTGTTGTTGATCATTACGATTTAATGAAAACTTTTTGCGGCTGACGTTTTCTTTTATTAATTTTACCCGCAACTGTCATCACCATCAAGAAGATCCTTCGTTTGCGTTCTCTAGTGCACGCTAAACCACTTCCACTTTAATTTCTTAACCTGCTTGCCGGAAAATCTAATTTTCCCTCTAATTTAGAGAGCATTTAGAACCTTCATCTCTGGAGTGCAGTTGCATTTAGGAGATGATAATAAAAACTTAAGGGAACCTTGGCGCTTAGAAAGACGAAACTCATTTCCAGATGAGGAGTAATCTAAGATAGGTACAACCTGCAACCAAAGATCTGGCACAAACTCCTACTACAGATCTGGCACAAACTCGTACCACAGATCTGGCACATACTCCTACCACAGATCTGGCACAAACTCCTACTATACAGATCTGGCATATACTCCTACCACAGATCTGGCACAAGCTCCTACCACAGATCTGGCACGAACTCCTGCCACAGATCTGGCACGAACTCCTGCCACAGATCTGGCACAAACTCCTACCACAGTTCTGGCACATACTCCTACCACAGATCTGGCACGAACTCCTACCACAGATCTGGCACAAACTCCTACTCCTACCACAGATCTGGCACACTCTCCTACCACAGATCTGGCACAAACTCCTACCACAGATCTGGCACATACTCCTACCACAGATCTGGCACATACTCTTACCACAGATCTGGCACAAATCCTACCACAGAGCTGGCACAAACTCCTATACCAGAAATCTGGTACAAACGTGTACGAAAGATTTGTCACATATCCGATTAATAAAACAATAGTTATTTATGCGAGCGTCCCACGCATTTTATATTGGATGCAACATATAAATGATTCGGAATACATATTAGAAGTCAATTTCCGATGCACAGCGGAGTTGATTAAATGAGAGCGTCGATGAAATCTTTACACTAAATTCAGTTATTCATCGGCCCTACTTTTTGCGATGAAAGTCAAGCACAAAATTTCGAGGTTGAATAAGTTTTCAGTGGATGTTCCTTACTTTAGTTGAACATTGGAAGTCGACGTTTATATATGTTTATAATCCTTGTTGCCACAAAACGAGTGGATTGTTGAAATTGAAAAAAGACCATTGCCGTTAGATTGATGAATAAGTGACGAAGTTTATAGGGATTTAAACTAAGAAGAAAAATGTTCATAATTGTCATCTCAAATTTGCTTGAATTTTATGAGGTGTAATGAAAATTGTATAACAAGTATAGTTGAGTTGTAATTCAAAACGCCTCCCTAACTCCCAATACAATAACAATGCAAAGCACCGCCGTAATCCCATCTGACCAACTGCTGGTGTGCTGGGTAGAAGGAATGGGGTGTGGTGGGGTGTGGTGGGTAGTGGTGGGGTGTGGTGGGGTGTGGTGGGGTGTGGTGGGGTGTGGTGGGGTGTGGTGATGTGCGGTGGAGGTATCGTGGTGAGTTTTAGGAAATTTAATAATTAATCGGGATGTTTCGTCTGTCGGGATGTAAGGGCTGCGTTGGTGGGGATGGGGGGGAAGTATTGCAAGATGGTATGAGTGGTGTAAGATGTGTTAAAGAGGGGTGAAATGTTGTGCCATCGCACTCCAGCCGTGACTGTAACACCATCACACCGCAGCCGTGACTGTAACACCATCACACCGCAGTCGTGACTGTAACACCATCACACCGCAGCCGTGACTGTAACACCATCACACCCCAGACGAGACTGTAACACCATCACACCGCAGCCGTAACTGCAACACCATCACACCCCAGCCGTAACTGCAACAGCATCACACCCCAGCCGTAACTGCAACACCATCACACCGCAGTCGTGACTGTAACACCATCACACAGCAGCCGTGACTGTAACACCATCACACCGCAGTCGTGACTGTAACACCATCACACCGCAGCCGTGACTGTAACACCATAACACATCAGCCGTGACCGTACCAAGTGCCGTCACGGCCCATGATTGACAGCCAACGCACGGCAATGACGCGCGTGCGTTAGTGTCACGCAGCAGCCGTGACCGTACAAGTGCCGTCACGGCTCATGATTGACAGCCAACGCACGGCAATGACGCGCGTGCGTTAGTGTCACGCAGCAGCGACAGCCCCACGCGTCCGTGTCGCGTCCAAGTGTCCCCGCGGGGCTCTAAACAATCGCGCAGCGTCGACTTAACCAGATTAAATCACGCGACTTGAGCGCCTGACGAGTGCCGTACTACGCTGGTTTGGGGCGCTGACTGTAGTGCCTGTTGAGCGCCTGACGACTGCTGTACTACGCTGGTTTGTGGCGCTGACTGTAGCGCCTGTTGAGCGCCTGACGACTGCCGCACTACGCTGGTTTACGGCGCTGACTGTAGCGTCTGTTGAGCGCCTGACGACTGCCGTACTACGCTGGTTTAGAGCGCTGACTGTAGCGTCTGTTGAGCACCTGACGACTGCCGTACTACGCTGGTTTATTGAGCGCCTGACGACTGCCGTACTACGCTGGTTTACGGCGCTGACTGTAGCGCCTGTTGAGCGCCTGACGACTGCCGTACTACGCTGGTTTACTGTGCTGACTGTAGCGCCTGTTGAACTGCCGCTGGTTTAGGGCGCTGACTGTAGCGCCTATTGAGCGCCTGACCCGTACTAACGCTGGTTTAGGACGCTGACTGTAGCGCCTGTTGAGCGCCTGAAGACTGCCGTACTACGCTGGTTTGGGACGCTGACTGTAGCGCCTGTTGAGCGCCTGACGACTGCCGCACTACCGCTGGTTTGGGACGTTGACTGCCACTGGGGCAGAAGTCCAAAGCGCGTCTATACCAACGCTGGGTTTGTTTCAAATACACCGCCCGAGATTAATTGTAGTTTGGCACGGGTTTAGGGTAAATATAGTATGCATGGGTTTCAGCGCTAGTCTGTTTTTTAACGCATATGTTAACGCAACGAAGAGTAAGAATCAAGCGTTCAGATCACACTGAGTTAAAGCTCTCGTAGCACACTGAGTTGTAGCTCCCGTAACACGCACACGGGGTTTAAATTTATTCGTGTCAGCGTTGTTCCTTCACTTGTCTG